TTAAACTTATTCTGTGTACTCAGTAAAAACTAAAATCACAATTTCATGGGTTTCAAGGCATGAAACGGTTGTCATCTGTGCAGATCTGAGTTTATGGGTGGCTATTGCAGAAACCCTGTGGTTTAGATTTGTCAGGTTTTCCCTTCTGTCTGTGATAAGAATACTGCCTTTGCTTTATAATCATCCATTAAACCAATTTTTTTCAGGTGTAAGTTCTGCAGCAAATGATCCTGAACTTTTCAGTTGCTGCATATAATAGTTTTTTTCATTCACAGTCCTTTCAATGGGGTTTTTAGTTTAGTTGGTTTAATAAAAAGGTTTTGGGGTTCATGCTCATACCCATAAGTTATTGATGCTTTCCAGAGCTGGATGAAAGGCTGAAATAATGCCGTGTAATCTTGTGGGCATGGAGCACTTGCCAGGCAAGGCACTAGAAATTAATGGTCCCTTACCTTAACTTTTAAAAAGATAACTTGCTGTTTGGATGGTGTTTTCTGCCAGCTGATCACATTTCTCTGATCTGTTTCTCTGGAAAACGTTATTTGCAGCTATCAAAATTAACCATTTTATGGCCTCAGAGTGGAATATTTTCTGCTCTTGTGAGACCTCATTTGGAGTATTGTGTGCAGTTCTGGTGTCCTCAACATAAAAAGGACATGGCTCTGTTGGAACAAGTCCAGAGGAGGGCCATGAGGATGATCAGGGGACTGGAGCACCTCCTGTATAAAGACAGGCTGAGAAAGTTGGGGCTGTTCAGCCTGGAGAAGAGAAGGCTTCATGGAGACCTCATAGCAGCCTTCCAGTATCTGAAGGGGGCCTATAGGGATGCTGGGGATGGACTCTTCATTAGGGACTGTAGTGATAGGACAAGGGGTAATGGGTTAAAACTTAAACAAGGGAAGTTTAGATTTGATATAAGGAGGAAATTCTTTCCTGTTAGAGTGTTGAGGCACTGGAATGGGTTGCCCAGGGAGGTTGTGAATGCTCCATCCCTGGTGGTGGTCAAGGCCAGGTTAGACAGAGCCTTGGGTGGCATGATTTAGTGTGAGGTGTCCCTGCCCATGGCAGCGGGGTTGGAACTTGATGATCTTAAGGTCCTTTCCAACCCTAACTATTCTATGATTCTGACTGTCTCAGCTGTTCTTTCAAATGGCACTGAATTTTCTGGATGGCTACCATGATTATCTAGATAACCTTCAAAGGCTCTCCTCAAAGAATAGATTTTAATCTTTTTTGAGTAGAATTTACTATTGAAGCATCTCAGTGGCAGTTATCAGTGCAAGTATAGAGAGCAGCAGTACTGCATGTTGTACAATAATGTTAAGCCTGTTTGCATTGATCACTTCTACATTAGCAAACTGGCAGTAGTACCTAAGAGAGGTAATTCTTGGACAGCACTGAAGAGACAAGAAGAGGCAAAGTTATCTCAGGCTTTGCCTGTTTGTGTTCTATTATACGTGAAACAGTAGGAGAGGTGCTGCTTCTGTCAGCAATAAGGAAAAAACAAGGGTAGTTTGACGCAAATCCTCCACTCCTGACTGACAAACACAGTTAAATCACCTGGTAAGTTTTACATCTGTTTTAACTTACTACTACTTTTTTGTGTGTGCATTTGAAAGCCATCTGCTCTTTCTGTTAAATAAGGTGAATTTCTGTTTGTTCTTTAATGCTGAGTGTGCAGCATAAAGAAAACAAACAACAACAAACAAAGCAAAGCACCAAAAAACACCCCAGCCCCAACCCTTACTATATTAATTCCTTCTGAACACATTGATCAATGTTTTGGTGGTGGTTGTTTTCAAGTTACCAGTTTTTCCACAGGAGTTTTCATAGTTCACAAGCCACAGGACTAGAACTTGAGCCACAGATTCCTTGAGGGGTTTCTGTTTGTTTTGATGACCTCTAGTTAAAGTGATCTTTGAGGTTTGGACATGTGATGCTTTTCTCATCAGTTCCGTTGTTTCAATGTACTCATATCTAGTGATAAACAGGCAAGTAGTAAAGTCAATGTTAGTGTCTGTTCTACACTAAAAAAGTTGGGAGGTATTTCTCTGCTGATTTCATCTGTCTTTTTAAAGTAACTTGTTTAGACAGGGGCCTCCAAAAAACCTTGGAGCGGATACTGAGGTTTTGAAGATGTGATTGGCTTAAATAGTTTTGCGTATTAAATTTCTTCCTTTACAGGAATATCTCGTTCTTGTGCTAAAGCCCAAATTGTATCTCTAGTTTTTTGCTGGCATACTTCATGCTGATCAGATGTATCAGGGCAAACGGCCTCCCATCAGGAGGGTTACTGAGATCTAGTTTGCTCTTTCAGTTTCTTGAGCGGGTCCCTGAGCAACAATTGTGTTTTACTCTGTTTCCTCAAATCTGCTCTGTTGCCTCTGTTCCCAGGTTTAGTCATTTTACATATTTTTGTTTCCTCTTCTGAGGTGCAATGGGAGGTTGCTTTGCCTTTGATATTCCTCTTTCTTTAGAAATCCTGCTTCTGGGCACTGGGGGAGGGGGGAGGGGAGGAACGTTTCCAGTTCTAACAAACTGCCTTAGCAATTTTTACCTCATTTCCCCCCCAAATTGTGCCTGTGGGGGCATGTGCTGGGAATTGTAAAAAGGGGTGTTATGGTGTGCTATTACTGGGAATTGTGAAATAGGTGTTACGATGTCCTGTAAGTGTGATGATAGGAGCCAGTGAGGTTGCTGCATGTGGATGCACCATCCTGTGTCTCATGCACTGAAAAGTTGTGATGATGGCTAGAAATAGAATCATTTACATTGGAAAGACCTTTAAGATGATGGGGTGCAGTCGGTACTGTATATGCCCAAAAGAGGCAGCTCTGGATGGGGAATTGGGAGTAATCAGTGTGCGGGTGAGCCAGAGAAGCTAAACCGAGCCTGGCGTATGTCAGTGTAACCCTAAGGGCTGGTAATGGACCCAGCCCAAGTATTATCAGGCAATGAAGAAGATACGATTTTGTAATGGACTATGCATGTGAAAGCCGGAAAATCTTGAGTCTGACAAAACAATGTTTTCTTACTAAGCTCATAAACCTTGAGGAGCGGTGGAAGACTGATAAATGAACCATCTGCATCAGAAGAAGAGTAACAACTAACTTCAGAAAGATTAGAAAGGAACACAGGTTGAGAAATACAGAAGTAAGTTTGAAAAGCCTAGCAAAACAGAAGATAACTGTGTCCCTGAAGGAAATTGGTTCCTTATAATACAAAAATCACACCCACTGAGATAAGAGATCCTTGGCCGCAGAGGTACTTACTTACGGTAAATGAAATTGATAACTGGATGATAGGGAGATGTTACTAAACTCTGAACAGAGGCTAGCATCCACACCTGAGTAACGTGAGGTGTGCCAGCCAGAAGCTCGACTCCGTGTGAGACTGGTGTATGGCACACTAGGTGAGCGATCCCACTTGCGGGACAACGCAGGGACCTCCCGGCTTTTTGGGAAGAGCCGGCGGCGGGCAAGGCCTGGCGAAACGGGTGCTGGGGGTTCAAGAGCTGCCTGCGCCCTCGGAAGTTCTCCGCAGCATCCGCAAAGCGAGCGGTGCCCTGCGGGACGGGGCCCGTGTACCACACGTGTCCCACCGAGGGCACCGACCAAGGCGGGTCCTGATCCCACGGACCGAGGCGCTAAGGCAAGGCCCGGCGCCCCTCCCACCGCCGGCGCGGCGCGGCTCTGCCACCTAGCGGCCAGCGAGGGGAGCAGCGTGGCTGGAGGGAGCCCCGCTGTTCTGCGCACAGACACCGCTGCAAGGCTTGGCTCTGAAAGCCAAGAGCGCCTTTGAGCGCTCGGGGTGCGGACCGGTTGTGTTCGATTTTGTCTGAGAAACAACCAAAAAGCCTTCAATTAAAGCCCTGGTTTAGGACACAAGTGCTCTCAAGTATATCCACAACCATCTGCCAGCATAGCTCTGCTCCTTCTATTGTCAGTAGCTTTAGGGTTTGGGCACACCACCAGGTAAGAGTAAGATGAAAGATGGATTGGGTGCTTCACACTGATGCTTTTATATTCTTAATCCTTCTCTTCTCGTGACTGGATGATGGTAATGGCTGGTAGGCACATAATGTTGCAATCTTTGTTTTTAGAGTTGTGCTAAAGATTATTAGATAATAGTTACTGAGTTGTGCTAATGCTTAATATTGCATCAGTGCTTGTTGATGCAACATCAATCTTTACAAATCCCTTCTTACTCCCAGCTGTTGGATAAAGAAGAAAGGGGACCGGGATATTTTCAGTCATCCTTCCCTGTTGCTCACCACTGCTTTTGGGTGCCTTTTATCCACCCTGAACATGCATGACAGCTTCTGCTTTCACTAGCAGAAATGCTGGGAAGTAGTCCGATGGTTCCTGGTAACTTGGATCTTCTAATTTCTCCTCTGTTCCTGTATTAATATGTGCATCTCAGGTTCTTTGCATCTGGTTGAAACTTTTCACTGTGATCTAGACTAAACAGTTGGATTGCTGGTTAGGCATTTAGTTCTACAGGGTTATATTTATGGTGCAGTATTTTGTGGTGTTTCTGTAACTCAAGATAATTATAATGAAGTTTAGACTAGTCTTAGGTGAAGCAAGATATTTAATATAAGTATATATTTTTAATATATCTACTTATATACAGTGTATATATATATGCATATATATAGTAGACAAAACTAAAAGTTTTATGTATTGGTTTGTTCTGACGTACTCTATGTAACTGATTTTGATGATTCTTTTTTCTCTCTATTCCTAAGGACTTTGCTGCTAAAGTAACCCTCAGTTCAGCTGCTTTCCTTCTTAGTACCTCCGCCTTATGCAGAATTGTCATCTAAAAGAGAAAAAAAAAGTAGGAGTAAAATTGCAAGTTCTTTCAGAGCATTTTATTATAACATAGAAAGTGCCAGTTCTCTAGGAGCAGGATATGTAATGGGTTTAGAGAAAATGAACAAAGAAATAAATCCACGTGAAACTTACTCCCTTGTATTAATGCAACTAGTATTTTTTTCTTCTTAAGGATTTCTGGAGTGTCTACAACAACATTCCTCCTGTGACACGTGCCTCCAATATGCAGTTACCATTTAATGCAAGGTGAAGGACAGACCCTTTGGTATGTATGTGTTATCGGGAGATGCTTCTGGGAATGGGCAGTGACAAATCCTGAAGTGGTAGAAGGAGATAGGCGTGGGACAGGAGCATCTTGTTTCTGTTGCCTGCAAACACCCGAACTTAAGAGATCTATGAAAGAAATACCCTAAGGATCTTGTTAAGCTTAAAAATGACATGTACTGAAGAGTCCCTATTAAAAAAAGAGGCTGTAACTTAATTGTTCACCCCTGAACACATATGTAAGAAAGAAGTGAAATGATGAGAGAGTTGCTGAGCTAAAATACGACTCTGAATTTCAGTTCAGGAATACACAGAATGTTGTTTCTATCTGAATTATTTTTAACTCACAATTTTTTTTTCTTTCCACTGAAGCTGGTGTAAGAGTGATGCAAATGACTGATGGTCCTTAACTCTTCTTCACCTGTGCAAAATTATGCTTCATAAGCATGTCAATGCACATATACCTTGGATTAAAATTAATTTAAGGCATTATGAAGTGATTCATTGCAGCAAATTCCCACTTGATTGTAGGGTAGTAATGGAATAAAGTATAAATAATTAATGTTTTCCTTCCAGAAGTTGAGTTTTGCATACCTTCTTCCTGGTGCGGTTCTGTCACATCTCCAGGAGAGAGCTGAGCACTTCCTGAAGAGTTTTGGTCAAGATTATAGAGTTCTTGATCATTTTATGTCTAACTGCATGGTCACTTAATACAGGATGATTTCTGTCCTGATCTACTGAAGAATAAATTTCTAGAACTGTGATTGCTCAGGATAGCTAAACTGGGTTTGGAAAAGTGTTAGTGTCTGTATAAATCAAGCGGACCGTTCCGTGCAGGTCTCCCTATCTTTGTAAGGAGGAGTGAGAGCACTTCTGGTTTTGTTTTGTTGGCTTTGCTATTTTTAGTTTTCATTTGGGAAGTGACTGTGAGAGGTGTGAAATGTGAAGAGTACTTCTGAAAATGATACACCCGTTTTGAAACTGGCAAAGCAATTTTGTATTTTAGGAAAGGGATTACAAGAGATCTCATCTGTAACCCAGTAACTCTTCAGCGATTGCTGCCAGGAAGCTGTTCTCAGATTACAGTTACAGTATCCTGGTTAATTGCAGCATTGTTGTGTAAATTACATTAAATGAAAACAAAGTCTGAAGAAAGAATTGAGGACTGAAGAGTTTTGAAGATGTTTCCCCCCCCCCCCCGCCTTTCCCTAGTGTTTGTCTGGATTGATAGGAGACCATTGGTCCTGAGCAGTCTCTATAGGTTTCATGGGGGGGTTTAGATGTTCCAAAAGTAAATTTTAGGAAATTCTTTTAAATTTGCTTTGCAGATTTCTAACAGGAAACAAGAAGCCCTGGTTTAAAATCTTATAAAAAGAATTGTGACAGAATAAACTTGAGAAGCTCACAGGTTTGTATGTTGTGCCTTTGTCATGACAAGGCAGATTAATAGTTATGTCTGCCCTGACCCTGGATAGCTTCAGTCTTTTTTATCTTATAAGAAGGGCAATTAATTTCTAGCTGTCACACAACTGAAGTGTGCTCATGTTCTTTGTTAAATTGGGTAAGCTTCAGAGTAATAAGGTGCTGCTGTGAAAATATGCCAGAGTTTTTCCAAAATAAAAGGTTACCATAGTAAAATATGAAATAGTTTTGTGGCTTTTTCCCATACAATATGCAGCCACTTCAAAGGTGTTCTGTAGTCAGGGAAAATGTAAGTATTTTCTAACACACACAATTTAGGAAAGGGATTAGCTGTTGAGAGATAGACTTCATACGAACAATGGAAGAATTACCTCTGATGTCAGAAGTCGTAGTTTGAGTCATGCTACCTGGAGTTAGTAATTGCATTTCCAATGGGATTTTTCTGGGAAAATGAAATCCCAGACACAGGGTTATGTGGATGTGAATTTGAATGTTTATTTTCACTGCTCTGTTTCCCATAACCGGGGAGAGGAAAGCGATGCCAAAGGAGGTGTACGAACAATGAAGCTCCCTAAAAAAGTACAGTATGTTATACTGACTTTTTACTTAGACTTTGTTTAGTAAGGGGGTTTCTTTTAAGCACACCTGATACAGTTGTTGTAAAGCTTCTTAGTTCTGATATCACCCAACACAACAACTGAACACTATTTTAAGGTCTATAACCTTTTACGTTAAGACAGTGAGCAAAAGTTTGTCATTTGTTGGTGTGTTATAAAGCAAATGAAAGCTGTGGTGTTATACTCCATCTCGATTTGGAAACAGTCTTTTTATAATCACCTGACATAAAGTTTACAGTTTTATAATTCTCATAACTGCTTTCTTACAGGCATGCAAAGAAAAGTAGAACCATCTTTTCCTGATAATATTATATGCTAAGTTATGGCCATAACCTCAGTAATGCTCTTCAAAAGTCCACACACAGACTCTAGCACAACTTCCAGAGTTTCACTGAAATGCTCCTAAACTCTGTCAAACTCAGTAAGACTATTTCTGCCTGGCATGGCTTGTTTGCCCCTCGGTATGGCTGTGAGTAGCATCGTGACTTTCTGTAGCCAAATGTGGACCAAGATGGTGTTTCCACTGATAGCTCATCCCATCTCATAGCTTGCTCCCACTGGAAAGGGAAGACATTGTTCATTCTTTCCTAACCCCTTTTGCACTGGCTGTGGTACTTATCAGACTGTTTTGTGAGCCAGCTTAATGCACTCTAATATCACAAAAAGTATCCTATTTACTATTTTAAGTTGAATATATGGCCAGGAGAGGGCTTATTGGTGGGCATAGGGGGGAAAGAAAAGACAACTGGGATCATCCCTCTCTTTTTTTCATTTAAGAATGTGAAAGATAAAATCTGTTCAGTAGGGTTGTTGTTCTAGCACTGCTGAAATAATGGGGTTTCTCTTTGTGCCCCTAATCAAACACATGCGAGTAATCTCTGTGAACTGTTAAGGAGAGGAAATATGACCTCTTCACATGTGGTGTTTATGTGCGTGTGTGTGTGTGTGTGTGTGAATTCTGCATCAGGCCTTTAAACATGAAAAGTGGAGTGTCAGAAAAATGTGACAGCCTTGCAGAAGGCATTAAATGCTGAAAGACAGTACTGGATATTTCAGCCAAAAGTTAATTGTTTTTTGCCTGTGGGCTCTTTCCCCGTATGTGGATTGCAGCTTCCCTCCCTGCAGCCCCAGCTGATCGCTGAAGACTGAAATTTTCTTTCTTCTCTTATATTCCAAGGTGTGAAGATAGTCAGAAGTGACAAGTGGTTTGGGGAGTCTGAATTACTGGGTGGTGAATTTAGGGACCTCAGAGGCCGAATGACATCCCCTTTTTGAGATGAAGGTTCTTTTTGATCTCTCGAGCTACCTACATCATGTCCCAGGTCACTTCTGAAAGGCTTAATTGAAGGTGAACTTCAGTCAGCTTTTAGTGTCTCTTGAAATAACATAAAAATTAATAACGCAAATAATACCTTTATGCCTGTTTCTCTTTTTTTGGCTTCATTCTTCATCACATGTGCACAGAGCATCTTCTTGGCTAAAATGTACAGACCTAACTCAAAAGGTGATACGCTATAGCAGCCTTGACAAGGGTGTGGAGGGCGGAAAAATGTACCCTTTTCTAAAGATACCAGTCTTTCAAGGGGTATTAAAAAGGCAACAGACAAAATACTGTCACTTAAATGTTGTGGTGTGTGTGCAGTGACACTACTTGTATGCCAGTTTTTATATGAAGACTAATACACTTTAGATCCTCATAAACTTGATCTGGCAACTGCTTGCTGCTGCATGAAGTGCTTTCTACCCTTGAGACCATCAGGACAACTCAGAAATAGTGAGCACTGTGCCTGGTAATGACAGTGGGTGTGCTCAGCCCCATCACTGTCTTTGAGCTGTTCGACTGGCAGGCAAATGACATCGTGATAGAGGCTGTCAAGCTTATGTCTTCAGCCTGCCTCGGGAGCCATCACATCAGATGGTCCTGCCCATAGAACAGCTTTACATGATGCATTGGATTAGATGTTAATGAATCACAGAAATCCTTTGTATTCTGAGAGATAGCTTAGGAAACACCATTAAAGTAGCTTATTAGTTTATCATCTTTGAGGCTGCTTGCATTTTGTTTTAACCTGGTGCATTTGGTTTGCTAGATTTCTTAATAGTGCTAAAAGCTCAAGCTAACTTCAGATATCAGAAAAGGCATTCCTTAAAAATAGTATATGAAAAAGTCATTATGGTGATGCAAACAAATATATGTATCTATGTGTTCTTTTAAATAAATAAATACTGTCCCTGTAAACTCACACTTTGGAGCATTACGCTGGTCCAGATGCGTTTGAAGTTTTGTATGGGCTTTGGATTGGGTGGTAACAAGTCTCAAAAGCAAGTAACAGTATAATTGGTCTAAAAGCCATAGTAAAGTGGCAGGTAGCTTTCCCCCCCTGTTTTAATTCTTTAGCAAGCATTTGAATTCGTTGAAAGACGGACTGATTTCATAGCCAAGGCAAAACAGAGATCATGGTTAAATTCTAAATCAGTGTAATTTACTGGTAGGGTTTTCAGGTACTTAGGGGTTAGTGATGCCTTTGTGTAGGCACAAAGAGTCACAAGTGGAGCCTTATGGTCTTTTATTTTGGGAAATTCTTGGGAGAAATCTACTTTCAGGCTTTGCATACCTGGTGCATTCAGGATGAGTTGTGGACTCAGGTACAGTGAAGGTAAACTTAAATATTTATTGGAACAATTCCGTATAGCACTACGTATTTCTAGGGTCTGAATTCTTGTTGCAATTGGATTGAAGAAATTAATTATATAACACAGCACGTACTTACAATACTCTTTTGTCTAGACAACCTGAAAACTGACCTAGCGAGCCTAACTTTTAGATTAGAAAATAATAATGCAAATGTAACTTATTTTTCTTCTCCCTTTCTTAGGCTGCAGTTTGGGAAGAGCTACTGTTAGCAACCACTGGACAGCAGTTCACAGACTGGTGTGCAGCAGGTAATTTAAAAATGATTGAGGCAATCACGACAGATTGAGCTCGAACACAGAACATGGAAGCTCGAACACAGAAACATGCTAAAAATGAGGTATAGAGCTGGAAATCATATTCACACCTCTCATCATTAAGAAGAGAACAAAGTATTCTGGCTGTTTTAGCACAAGACTTGCACTCAAAAGCCTGCATCCCTGAGAAGCCAGCAGGTTTTCTAGTTATTAAATATCTGTGTTAGCCAGTATTGAAATGATGAATATTCATTCTCAGTGACAGGATTCTGGAGCCCCAAATGACACTTCCCTACAGATTGTTTGGACTGTCACTGTTGGAAGCAACTAAATTGGGTACATGCCCCCGTAGTCCCTTCTGGTTAGGAGCTGTCAAGGGAAGCAATGGTGCAGACCAGAAGCAGAGGGAAGCTGTATGGCTTGCCGGTGGTGATATTAAAAGCCACAGCAGGGCTATAACACAAACCTGGCTGTCTTGAACCCCAGGTTAGCAATATTTTCATTATTAGTTAAAAACACTGCTTTGGTCAAGGTAATCTCTAATGTAATCGAATTTGCATAGATATTCTTTAAATACTTTGTGAGCAGGAAGGGTCCAGAAGCTTGGCAATGTTATCAGGTGAGCTCAGCCAGTGGTCATCAAAAAGGTGCTCAAGGATGGCACCCTCTCAACAGAAAGCAAAGAAAACTAAGTTTTCTCTGCTGGCCAGAAAGGACATGGTGACCCAGACAGAGGTCCCTCATAAACATGTAACTGTCCAGGTGCCTGGCTGTAGTGAGTGCCAGAGCCTGTTGGTGATGTTGGATGGTGGCTGTGTAAGGTGTCACTAGGTTGATGATTTTCTCTGCATGGTGGCAGAGCTACAGGAAGAGATGGAACAGCTAGAGGAGCATAAGGGAATCTAAGGAGGAGATGGCTCAGTCTATATGGCAGCAAGGCCTGCTGTGCATCAGGAAAATCATGACAATCACCATCACAGAAACGTGTGATGTTTCCAGTCACTGCACATGATTGGAGTGCTGCAGTGGATGGCTCAGGCTCTTCAGAAGGGATAGGCAAGGAAAAAGAGGTGGTGGGATTGCACTGTATGTCAGGGAGTTGACTGCCTTGAACTCAGTGTTGTGAGTGAGAAGGCTGAATGTTTGTGGGTGAGCATCAGGGGGAAGGCCAACCAAGTAGGTATCCTGGTAGGAGTCTGTGATAGACCACGTAGCCAGGGTTAAGCTACAGATGAAGAAGCATTCTTCAAGCAACTAGGAGAAGTTTCAGAACCACTTGCCCTTGTTTTCATGGGTGACTTTAACCTACAGATGTCTGCTGGAAGTACAATACAGCAGAGAAGAAACAATCCGTGAAATTCTTACTTGCTTGGTTTTTTTAATTCTTCATTATTTCTTTAAAAGGATATTTTGACCAATTGTTTTTCCACTCAGATTGTGTTTGTTCCTGTTTCATTAAGATAGCAGGTTTTCTATCTTAAAATATAGAAAGTACTAGATAGATACAGTACTTCTATCCTGTACTGAGTTAAATGCAGATGTGCACAAAGATGGCATGCTGCTTTTCCTAGATGTGCTATATGTAGAGGAATACTGGCTTGGTGAAATGTGTTTTCAATTTTCATTTTGAAACATTCCTGTTGTGCTAAGATTTACTCACTGGTTTTGTCCCAAGAGGAAAAGCACTTACACTGCATTTATTCTAATATTCAGCATAATCTGCTCTTGCACTGACAACGGCACATGTACTGTAAATGTAAATAGTCAAGTGTTCACTAAACAATTGACTAAAAAGAACATGTTTATATTGGTACTAAACCTGTCTGGGGTGATGTTACTGTGTTTTAGTTGCACTGATTTCAGAAGAGTCCTCATTCAGACTAGAATGAGAAATCTTTCAGTAGTCGCAAACTCCACACCTCTTTTATTTAAGAGATGAGGGAGTTTAATGGTTTTATATTGTATGCTTGCTTATTATATTTTTCTGTACATTCATGAAAAAGTGTCATGAATCATTTCTAATGCATTAGACTGATGCATTAGAAATCACCTCATCTTTTGAGGAGAACAGTAGGCCTGTGCCTGCACCCACAAAGCTGAGGATCAGAACTGCTGTTGACTTCAGTGCAAAGGAGGAGATCCCACCCCAGGTAGTTTCAAGCCAGCAAGGCTTCCTAACTGACCTTAAACAAAATTACAGACAATAAATGGATTTTAAATTGCAGCATGAATATAAGCAGGATTAATCTTTAAAGGTTTGTCCATAGTAACTGCTTGAGGTGTTGGTTTGTTCTAATACACTATGAAAGACTGATGTGACACCTTTTACCAGAAGAAGCTGCTTGTTAGAGGTGAGTGGACACTCTACTGACCATTAATTCATTGTCGAGAGGTTTTTGTTCGGCAGCTGTTCAAGTTGCACAATTTCCACATCTTTAGTATATTAAGAGGCAACTGTTAAAATAAAATAAATTTAAAAATTAGAATTGCACATTTGAGATTTATTTTTACAACTTGGTCTTTATTTATGAATTAAACCTGTGCAGTTAAGGAGCATTAAACAAGGTTTCTGCAATCCAAATGTCTTGCTTCTGTAATTGCTGTCTGAGATTAAATGTTACCAGTCTTGCTTTTTTAAACCAGTGCATTTTTCAGTAAAGCTCTCTTCGAATCTGTTTTGTTCACAGACTAAACAGCCTTTAAAATATTTGTTGTTTTCACTTGGAGAACTGCTTTGTTGAAATTCATTAAATGAACCCCTCCACTACTTAAAAATCATCTAAATTGTTTAAATGGATAGCAAAGAAGAGTCTACAACTTCCTGAAATTCATGAAAATGAATTTCTGATGGCATTTCAATACAATATTCAACCATTTAACTTCTATGTTCAGAGCACAGAAACTCCAGGTTGCTGCCCTAGTGGAATTGAAGAAACCTGATTTCTTCTTGAGGTGGTAACAAGGTCTGGTTGATACCTGCCTACACTGGGACGAGGTCTGTGGGGTTTACCTGGTGTCTGCTGCTGGGGCAGGTCACACTGAAGCTTTCCATGAGACTGGAGCACTTGTTTGCTTTACCCAGGCTGATTTTAAGGATTCTGTAGGAACTTCATGTCCTTGATGCAAATTGTCCTGCCACCCAGGCCTGCTTGGTGCAGAATTACCATCATGTGGGGATAGTCTCTGTCCTGGGAAGCCAGGTGAGATGGGAGGTAGGGGGAGAACTCTGACTGGTGTTAGAAATGTTCATAGCACCTTGTCAGAGGTGCTCTCAGCATCTTCGTAGGAAAGCTTTGACGCTGGGTGGTGGTGAGCTGGCTAAAGAAGAACTGCTCACCTCTCACACAGGCACAAGCATGGACTGTAGGAAGGAAGCATAGGGATGCATCAGGAACATAAGCCCAGGGAGAAGAAATGCTGGTTGAGCTGTGGATGCTGAAGCTGCTGGGGTAGATGGAGCCAGGAGGGACTGCTGAGAAACAGTAAGAGGAATGAACAGCTTTATCCTTCTAGCACCTTTTGTACTGGTTTGCACCTTCCCAGGGCTGAAGATGGCCGTGGCAGCATGAGCATCTCTGAAAGCTCCCTGTGTCTCCCCAGGCTGTGAGACAACTGCTGCTGGAAGGATTAGTTGGGAATTTCACTTAGCAGGGATGAATGGCTGTCTTCTGGGGCTGGCTAATTAACAGGATTCTACTCTGGTAATTAAATAGCAGTTTGTTGAACACAACTTAGTTGATGGAATCTTTGGAAAACATAACAATTAGCAAGCAAGGAATGGCAGCTTTGCCTCAAAAGCCTATCCCCAGGCAGTTGCTGGTATGGTTTTAACCTTTCATTCTCCAGCAATGAAGGTATTGATGCTATTGGTATTTAACTGTTTTTGTTGCTGTCATTGGACAGTTTGTTCTCTCTCTGCTGTTGCAGCAGCTGGTTCCTCTAGGGCTTCATCTGGGCTGCAGAGGCTTGTGATGTCCCATTTCACATATTGCTCTCTGAGAAAACTCTGGTGCTGCCTTCTTAAAAGCCAATGCTGTGTTGTTCATGGGAGTGTTTGCCACCCTGAGAATAAACACTCTGCCCTGCTGCTGCTGCAGGAGTGCTGGGGCTGCTGGCTCAGCTGTGCATGCCTTTGCACAGCCCAGTCGTGCCTCCTCTGTATGGAGGAGGGTTTCCATCACGGTTACTCCATGCACAGCAGCACTGCCCTCCCTCTGAGCTACGTGTGTTGGAGAGATCACACAAAGCGCGTGGGGTTTCCTCACCAGGCGCTTGCACCATACACATGCACTGAAGTAAGTTGCAGCTGCATATTAAGGCTTTTCTCTGCCGGGCTTTCTCACTTTGTGCTGTTGTCAAGGGTTTTTTTTAACTGCCTTTGTGAAGCGGTCATGGAAATGAGAGCATATCAGAGTGAAGTATTTTGTCTATGGCGTGTTTGCACTGTGGAGGTACTCGTGGAGTTTTGTTTTGGAGAGCAGTGTTGAAAAAGAGCATAGGTGGAGCAGGAGTGAGTAGAGGAGAAGGTGCTTCTATGTGGTGTGATGTGCCTTAGCAGTGTTGCAGGATTGCTGTGGAGGAGCGCATCAAAGTGTCCTCAATTTAAAGCTATTTCATGCTGTGGGCTTTGCTCGGTCTTATGACTGCTTTCATTTTAGTGTGGCAGGTTCAAGACAGGTTGGCACACTCCTCTCAGTAATAATTAGCTAACTTAATACTTCAGAGCATGGAACACAAAAGCTCTGCGGGTCAGAAGGGGCTCAGTCAATGCCCTGCCTTTGCCAGTTGATGGGAGTACAAAAGAAATCACTTTTTATATTCTTCCTATGGCAGGATTGACCAGAGGGGATGAAGCTTAGGAGCTGTCTTAAAACACAGACGTGTCTGTGACAGGAAAATTACTGATCCTGAGCAGCTTATATAAACCCTCCCATCTGCACCTGCACAAGGAAGGGAGGTGTTTTTGAGTGGAAAGTGTTCATGTCTTCATCCTTACTTTTTCCTCCAATGATCCAATGATTCTCTTAGGACAATGACAAAGAGGAAATGAGATTAGATAAACAGTGGGAGATCCCACAGCTTGCTGTAAAAGCCACCTCCGATCTTCACTACACTTTGACAGCTCTCAATTTCCTAATTTGACAAGTTAATGAAGACTGGATTGTTTCTGAAGCCGTACGTACCATGTTGCTCTGCACAGGACTACCCACATCAGTACCTTCTCACCCATCCCTGGGAGGGAGGCAGTGTGTGCTGGAGCCCAGGGCTGGGGGCTGGTGTTTGTGGCTGTGGTGTTGGTGCAGGGCTCTGCAAGGTGCTTCCATGCCAGGATACAAATGGACTTGCCTCAGGTGCGTCTGTTGTCTCCCAAGCAGCTGTCCTGCAGCGTTTGACCTCCCGGTGTTTGGCTTGGCTGGCTGGTATGTTGTTTCCTTCCACTCTCCTTGAGGGTGTGTGCAGGCAGTGGAATGGGCTGGCCAAGCCAGTCAAGCTGAATACAACAGG